CGGCCCTTGTCCCACTGACTTCTAAACGTCCATCAGTTTTTTGTCTTTCTCAATGCCACAAAAAAATGGTTTTTTTAGCAAAACATTTGTGTGTTGAAATTTTTGGCATGAAGATACTTTAATTGTTTTGCACCAGGTTTAATGAAGAGTTTTTCATTTATTGTTTTAAATTATTTACTAATATTAACTACCTGGAGTTTATGAAAGAGATCGAGATACAAATATTTTGTGTAAATAAATAAGTAGTTTTGAACTACTAACTCTTAATATAGATCTTCATTGCCACTTCAGTGAATCCAGGGATTTAGATGGCATGGTTACATGCATATAAACAAATAAAATGTCTTTAAAGTGAGAGTCCCCTAAACTTAGTGTTTTGTTTACATCGTATGGAATATTCTAAGGCTATTTTCTAAATGTAGAGACTTTATTCATTCTTAATCATTTAAACTTAGCTATTTAGCAGAAGGTAGAAAATTTTTTGAGTGGGTCACAAATTTCCAACCCTGTTCTCTTTCTTACTCATCCATATTTAAAACATATATTTCATTCTACTGAGTGAAATGAATGAATTTATGACATTAGTATTTTTGGAACATTTCAGATTTCAAGCTTGAATAGCAATGTTGCTACAATTTTATAATTTAAACTCATAAAAGATTTATCATAAATACATAAAATCATACTTCTTTAAAACTATTCAGAGCCTTAATTACTTACTACCTTAATAAAAATCATTCTTTTTAATAAGTGTTTAAATTTATGTAATGATGATGTAAACCACCCAGAGTTAATTAGGTGGAATAAGCAGTATAGAAATGTAATAAATAAATTTCTGTGACTAAGGAATATAAACTCACTCAAGTCTATCTTCTAGGTATTTTAGAATAAATTTATCTCAGAAATTGCAGCTAATAATAAGAGAATGTACAGGAAAACATTTGGAGTGTATTAAAGCATCTATTTCTGGTCTACTCTTCCTTAAGGTGTCTTCATGTTTTTACCTGCTGGGACATTTAAGAAAATTATCAGTAATTAAGGTTTCAAGTTGTATTGCTTTGAACCAGATGTTGTCTTTAGTTTCTGCAAATAAACAGAGTATATTACAAACACCAATCTTGCTACAGATGATAAATAGAGCTTTGGGAATGACTAATGTAATTATAAAGCAAACAAATCGTGGGCTAACTTGAATTATAGGAATAAAGGTAAAGATCATGGTAATGATATTTGGAAGACCCTTCCCAATGGTTTGCCTACCATTATTCAACCCAAACATTGCTTAATCCTTTAATTTGCAAGGCTTTTGAAGACATCACATCCTCCATTATTAGGTATTGTCTGCTAATGACTAATCTCTCCTTCATTTGTCTCTTCCATATTCTAGTCATCTCTTATCAAATCCTATTCTCCTGCATTGCTTATTGCTTTATTGGCTGCCTTGTTAAACTTAGGGCCTGTTTATAGCAGGAAAATTGTGAATTCTGCTTGAAATTATATTGACAGTGTAATTAGTACAAAAATCAAGTGGAGTCATAGAGTACAGGAAAAAATCCCCACTGTTTTAATCTGAACTATTTATGCAAATCATCCTCTCTTCCAAATTCATTGCTTACACGACTAGGTTCAATATTTACTTTGATTTTAACTTTACCAGAGTAATTGTTGATTTTTATTTTAAGGACCTTCTAATAAGGTCCTAATAAGAAATACTTATCCTAATAAGAAATAATTTCAGCCTAGTGATGATAATAAGGAGGATGATAAAGTTACTTATATCCTATGCTCTTTCTGTCTTGCTGACAATTGATAATCTCCTAGAACTGTCTTTTTTTCCCACCTAACCTATGACCTTTGGATAACAGGCCCTATTAGGTACACTTCCTTCCATTGGCCAGAAGACAGTAAAACCACAGTCTTGCTTTGCAAAGTTACTGTGGTCATTGTATTGAAGATTGTGGCTGTGAAAGCTCTGCTATGTTGTTAGTTGCGAAGTCGTGTCCAACCCATCGCGACCCCATGGACAATGTTCCTCCAGGCCTTCCTATCTTCCACCATCCCCCAGAGTCCATTTAAACTCACGTCAACTGCTTCAGTGACTCCAGCCAGCCACCTCATTCTCTGTTGTCCCCTTCTTCTTTTGCCCTCAATCTTTCTTTTGCTTTAAATCGTTGGGGTTTTTTTTAGTTTTTGTTTAACCACATTCTCACATTCTTTTTACACTTAAACCTGTCTTGCAAAGCAGGCTGGCATTCTCCCTGATGTTTCTTACCAAATGAACCACTCAAAATCTTCAGACTTCAGAAAGCTTTTTTAATTTTTAATTGAGTATGTTATTTACTTTCACGATTGTTGTTGTTTTGAGTATTTGCTTAGTATTCCCTAGGTTTTATTTTCACTGATTTTAATGTTGTACAGGTAGTCTTCAACTTTTGACCTCAACGGAGCCCAAAATGTATGTTGCTAAGTGTGATATTTGTTAAATATTGAGTTTTCCCCCATTGTGTGACTTTTCTGGCCACCGTTGTTAAGTGAACCTTTGCAGTTGTTAAGTTAGTAACACAGTTATAACGTGAACCTGGCTTCCCCATTGAATTTGCTCATCAGAAGGTCACAAAAGGGGATTTGCATGGGGACCCTGCAACTGTCATAAATATGAGTCAGTTGTCAAGTGTCAGAATTTTTATCACATGACTATGGGGAATGCAACAATGGTCATAAGTGTGGAAAAACAGCCACAGGTCACTTTTTTGCAGTGCCATTCTAACTTTGAATGGACTCTAAATGCACTGTTATAAGTCAAGGACTACCTGTATTCCTTTTTTAAAAAAATTAATTAATTATTTTATTTATTTATTTATGTTCAAGGTGCATATCCATTTACATTTTTAACAGTGCTGTGTCAAGCATTTACATATTTTTACATTTATTTTCCATATTAAACCTTATATCTCTTCTCTAACCATAAGTACAACTTATCCCATACCTCATAGAATTCTGACTCCTCTTTACCTCTCAGTGTCCTCACAAGCCTATCCATTTCAGCACAGTCGAGTATTTTGTATTCGTTTTAATTGTTGTCTGCTCTGAGTAGCAATGACATGCTTTTTATTATTATAAAATTTCCAGCAGATGACAATGTTGTTTTCTGTTTCTGCTCGATCTGTATTTCCTTCTTTTCATAAATGAACAACTATATTTCTCCACCAAGATTTGCTACGTTTGAAAACAAAATCAGAAAACACAAGCAGCCACGGGGAAGAATTTTACAATAGAATTAACTAAAGTTTCAAAAAAACAATTTTATATGTAGGTAAAGCGATATAAACGTAAGAGAATGAGATGGGCATCTTAAGGTAAAGTCCAATCAAGCTCACGTGTTGCATTATAACAGTTACTTCTAACATAAAATGTGCTCTTGTGCCTTACTGATTCTCCAGGTTTAAAATGAAACTTGATTTGTGGGTTATGCATCTCAGAATGCGAAATTAGTCTTCAAATTGACTTCACTGCCATACTAATGGAGAGGATTTGCTAAAGCGATTGCTGTGGATATTGCTGTTCTTCTCATTGTTCCTTATACTTTCCTCTCTTACTGTTTCTTTATTATGTCCTTCTTTTGAACCAGCTAGTGGAATGAAAAGAGGGTTTGTCCTGGAACTAAGGTTTGTTGGTTTAAATACCAGGTCACTTGATCAACTTGCTGGCAAATGTGAGCAGGAGGCTGCATTTTTGCATCAGGTGCTCCAGCTGAAATTATTAATGCTGTATCTTGTAAATTTATTTATGTCCTCCCCATGTTTCCTGTGGTATCAGTTTCATAAGATAAAAATTGCAAATCACTGAATGCCATATCAACATTCAGTGTGATGCATATTTATATTAAGGTTTAAAGTGGAAGGTAAACTGATCTTATATATGCATATATAACATATAAAGTAAGGTACTTCTTCTCCTTAAGGAGGTGCCTTAGTGGCTGAATGCACCAAGATATGAAGCAGTACATTTGTGGCTGCAAAACCAATTCATCTAATGAGGCTGGAGGAGAAAGCCCCTTGATAAATTATATAGATGGTTTCTCCTAGTTCTTGCAGTTTTCTTGGCAATATTTCCAGATATGGTTCCTTGCCTTCTTTCCAAGGCTGAAAGAGAAGGACTAACCCAAGGTCACCCAACTGTAGTAAAAATGGCTATAAAATCAGATCTGTTCACATGTTGACTTGCTTTACAACTGCTTTGTCTTACAACAGAAATTCCAGTCGGAACTGTAGCTGAGTCAAGGACTACCTGTATGTTTGTTTGTTTGTTTGCTTAAGCACAGAATGCTTAAGCTTCAGCGCTTCTGCTAACAAATCTAAGACATTCCAATTGCACTGAAGGGCAGTTTATGCAAAACAATGTTACATTTTTATCCTTGCCAAGAACTGTGGGAATGAGTCATTGGCAAGCAGTGCTTTTCTGTCGGTGAAATGTTAGCACCAGTGAATGAGATCCATCCAACTTGCAAAGTTTTGAAGAGCCCCTTTGGAGCAGGTATTTGAAAACTTCCAGACCAGGGACAGTTTCCTCCTCATTGTGGAGGACTTTTAAGAAGCAAAACAGGTGACAACTCATAATACCTCTGCCTGTTTTCCAGTGAGGTTTTCCTTGAAAGTTTTGTGTTCACCATAAATTCCAAATTTTACAGAACATTCATCTGAACATTTTGCAATCTCTCTTTGATCTGTAGGACAAAGTAGATGCTTTAAAAGTCCTCTATCCTCTTTTTGCCAATGTTGGTTTAAGGATGTGTCCTCACCCAGAAGGAAATGTACAAGCCATAAATCTGTGGGAATTCCTCACTGAATGGATCCTGCCTGGCCTTGCAGGGCTGCACTGCATAGCCAGTTCAGCTTCACTTCTGCAGTAGGAATAGAATGGCAATAAGTTAGTGTTGTTTACTTTATCACAGTTTGTTCATAATGACCTATTTTGTTGTTGCTGTTTGCTTTGTTGTACAGCAGACAAGAATATTTCCAGCATGACCAACAGATCCACTCGTGGCAAAATGGAATGGATCATTCCTCTCATTGTGGTCTCAGCCTTGACATTTGTGTGCCTAATCCTTCTTATTGCTGTGCTAGTTTACTGGAGGTGAGCCTTTCTAAATAATCTCAACTTATATGATGGTAAATGTTTTTGTCCCTTTATGCTCTCTATTTTGTCATGGGGGGGGGGGGGGTGGGGACTTTGACAATCAGCTATGTATTCACAGCTCAACCATTTTATGTCATGAAAATGATGCACCAGAAAGGCATGTAGAGGATTTCGATATCAAGAAATTCTGAGGAAGATCTCCATCACCTGACACTATAGACCAATAATTCCAAATCGTGCTTCTAGGATCTGTTAGGCTTCAGCTTCCATCATTGCTGAGTAACAATTGGTGGATTACAGGAACTGGGGCTAAACAGTATGGGAGAACATAAAGATGGAGAAAAATTCATTTTAATGCTGCATTTAATTGAGATGAGTGGTCCAAAATATCTGGGATCACTGTGAACTATGTTGGCTTACGTTTCATAAGATGACATTATCTACAACAGTTGCTCTTAATGTGTGGTCCGTGGACCCCTTGGGGGCCCACAATGTCATCACGGGGTTCATGAAGGCTTGAAGAAATGTTATGATTTAAATCTTGAGTTAAGTTTTGGTGGTCCGTGGCTGCTGTCCATGGCCACAAAAGCTATTTAAAGAGAGAAAGCTGGCCCCAAGAAAAGATTGAGCACCACTGATCTGCAACAACATTCATAAATGGTTTACTCCAGAATAAATCCCAGGTGAGATAGCTTTTTAGTTATTTGCAATTGATCTATGACTATATTGCCAAACAATGCAAGAAGTATTGAATGTATTATAACTTCGATAGCCATCATTAAAAAAAAAATGAGCATTTTAAAATATATAGAATAAATCTAATCCACACTATCACTCTCTTAGTGAGTTTCCATGAACAGAAATAGCAGGACAGTCCCCCATGGCTATAAAAAATACAAATGCATCATCACATCCACATATACACCTCCTACTCAGCTACCATGGATTTTTACTAAGTTGACTAAAACTAAATGTGATGATTTTAAGATGGGAAAAGGAAGGTATTTAGGACAAAGCAAGAAATAAACAAAACAGGTGAAGGTTAAAGGAAAATGTTGTTTCGGTTTAAAGTTTCTGCTTCCTCTCTGGTTTGATTGTATCATTTCTCACACATACCTGACACAGCCCCTAAGATCAAATTTAGTGGTTAAGGCAGCAGGCTAGAAATCACAAGGTGATGAGTTCTAGTCCCGTCTTGGGCATCAAAGCCAACTATGTGATTTTAGGCCGCTCTCTCAGCCCAACTCACTCCACTCTACATTCTTGCAGGAAAAAGAAGAGGAGGAGAAAGGAGCATTAGGTATATTCACCACCTTGAGTTATTTTTAAAAATAACAAAGGCAAGATGAACCATAATTTAAAAATATTTGCTGAATGCTGAGTTGTACTCAGAAACAGAAGAACAAGCTTCTGTGGGCCTTATTTTGTATCTTCTCCTCTCCTCTGGTGCAGCCATTTCCTTTAACAGCAGTTTGCCATGATACCCGAACATTATATCTTGACTAATATCTACTGAAGTTAGTTTTAGTCTCAAACGAGTAGCAAAGGCTTCTGATCTCACGATGTCTCCAGAAAAGAGGTGAAGATGAGTCTATGTCTTAAACCCTGCAGCGCTTCCTTCTTGTAACTCGCACTCATTCTTTAATGTCAGGCCTGAATAGTCATTGATATTTGTTATATGTTTGTTAGCCCAGAGGATAAATGGCAGTCATCTCAAGGCACTCAGAGGTAAAATGGTAAGTGCATAAGAATCCATTCTAACAAAGATCACATTGATGTTCATATTTTTTATTACATTGGGTTGTGATTTACATAATGAGCCTTTCTTTGGTTTCCTTTTCATCCTTGAGGAAAATCAGTAGTAAGCTTCTACTTTAAATGACGGACTGTTTTTTTTTTTTAATGGTTCTATGGTTTAATATTCTCGTAAGCTGCTCAGAGTTGCTGTTTAAGGGCACCCAGATCTTTTCAATGAATAAATATTTATTTACTTGTATTATTTTAGACTTGAGTTAGGAAGTCAGAGGCAAAAATGTGACATAAAAGGCAACATGTAAAGTGATGGAGGTAAGCTGAGGTAAACATTTTGCCTCTCAAAAGGAAGCAGACCATCAAGAGGAGATCATAATTGAAAACAAGAAGAGTTCTTGGTGTGGATATAACTGGGAGATAAATACTGTGTTTCTCAAAATTAAGGCTGGGCCTTTTTTTTTTTTTTTGAGCCCCCCAAAAATGGCTAGGACATCTTTTGCGGGGTGAATTAATTTCTTTCCCCCCTGCACACCAGCGCTGTCTCCAACAACAGCATCTGAGTCACTCCCACTTTCCCCCCATCCCCGTAACAACAGGAAAAAAAACATTTTGAGCTACCTGGGAGCACCGTGCACTGCGTTTTGGTTTAATCCCGAGCAGCTGGGTGGGCATGAGAAGAGCCGAGCGAGCACCTCTGCTGTTGCTACCCTTGGTGCTCCAGCCTCGGACTCTGCAAGTTTGCAAAAGTCCCGGTGCGCAGCCCGTTCCTGCATTCCAAGTGCCCAGGCTGAGCTGCAGCTGTCCCTCTCTCACCAGCGCCATTTCCAACAACAGCAGCAGCAGCGGCGGGAACTGTGGAAGTTATGGAGGTGGCTCCCCCACCCGAGAAGTGGCTGAAATACTTCCACGGTTCCCGCCGCTGCTGCCGCTGTTGTTGGAGATGGCGCTGGCGAGAGAGGGACAGCTGTAGCTCGGCCTGGGCACTTGGAATACAGGAACAGGCTGCGCACCGGGACTTTTGCAAACTTGCAGAGCCCAAGGCTGGAGCACCAAGGGTAGCAACAGCAGAGGTGCTCGCTCGGCTCTTCTCATGCCCACCCAGCCACTCGGGATTAAACCAAAACGCAGTGTACGGTGCTCCCAGGTACCTCAAAATGTTTTTTATTTCCTGTTGTTACGGGGACGGGGGAAAAGTGGGAGTGACTCAGACACTAGTGTTGGAGGCGGTGCTGGCAAGAGAGGTGCCAGTGCCGGTGGGAATCGTGGAAGCTATGGAGGCCTGAGAAGCGGCTGAAACACTGCCGGACATCCACGCCGACACCGCCCGCCTGCTGACCCGGGTAAGGGAGGGGTAAGGGAGCCCTCCGTGCTCCACCATGATTGGCTGTTAGGAGCAGCTGATGGTGAGGCCTAGCTGCCCGCGGGGGACTCCTAATGGCAAGTTCCCCCTGCCTTCCCCCCCCATTTCACATGTTTTAAACTAGGCCTAAATTTGGGGGGAGGGGCTTAATTTCATTTTATGCCTAGAAAACATGCTGGGTCTTCCTATTGGGGGGGGCGTATTGTTGGAGAAACATGGTATATATGTGCATAGATAGGTGCATTATAATTGTTGTTAAAATCATTGCCGTCATCTGTCCAATACCAGTTATCTGAGTGAATTCTAAATTCATTTAAACCACTAATTTTTTAAAAGGGAAATAAAAGCTGTATAATCATCCAATTATTAGCAAATGATTAATAAATAAAGGCCCAATAGAATGTCCGGGCACCAGAGATGGAATTCAGCAGGTTCTGACCAGTTCTGGAGAACCGGTAGCGGAAATTTTGAGTACTTCAGAGAACCAGTAGTGGAAATTTTGAGTAGTTTGGAATACCACCTCTGACTGGCCCCGCCCCCATCTATTCTCTGCCTCCTGAGTTCCAGCTGATCGGCTGGGTCTTCTTTTGTTGCCCTGCACAGGAGAACGGAGCTGGAAAGCAGGATAGTGGGGTGGGGAGGGAATGGGATTTTTCAGTAACCTTCTCTTGCCACACCCACCAAGCCAAGCCCACCAAGCCACGCCCATAGAACCAGTAGTAAAAAAAATTGAATACCACCACTGCCGGGCACCAATAGAATCTATACTTCTTGGGGATTAAACTGTTGTGACTCGCGTATTACTGATGAATTCCACCTTACCTGAAAACATTTCATAACCATTCCATTGACCAGTAAAATGAAAAACAGCAATTAATTTTAAAAGATCTATCTAGTGTTCATGAAAAATTACAAAGAGAAGCGAGATGGCCTAAAACGCTTCTCCCATAACTGGGATTCTGTTGCTCTTCTTTTTTTTCTTTTTTCCTTTTGGCTATTTGTGCTCTATACTATCTTCACTCTAAGTAGTTGAACAAAAAGTAAGCAAGATAATACAGGTTAGTCCTTGACTTACGAGCACAGTTGGGACTAGAATTTCCTTTGCTAAACAAAAGGGTTCTTAAGTGAGCCGTGCCTGATTTTATAACGCTTTCTGCCATGGTTGTTAAGAAAACCACCGCAGTGGTTCAATGAAACACATTGTCACTAAGTGAATATGACGCTCCGCCATTGACATTGCTTGTTGGAATCCAGCTGGCAAGGTTGCAGATGGCAGTCATGTAACCCCAAAATGCTGCAATGTCATAAATACATACCAGGGGTCAAATACCTGTATTTTGATCATGTGACCATGGGGATGCTGCTGTGATCATCAGTGCAAGGACCGGCTGTTAGTCACTTTTTTCAGTACCGTTGTAACTTTAAATGTTGCTAAATGAACAGTTGCAAATCAAGGACTACCTGGCAAGCTTCTATATTCCTCATATCACCAGTCATGCCCTGTTTGCTGCCTGAATGAGTTACTGGGTGGTGTCAACCTGACTTCATCACAGCTCTGGGTTACTATGATATGTGTTTTTTGCACTGACGTTAGAAGCACCGAGGGGCTTCCGGGTTGAAAGAATTAGTCAGTGACATCACCGTTGCCCAGGGGACGCTCAGTTGGGAGCTCCTGTCATGTCCCCGGCAGGAGCTGGAGTGAAGGACAGGAGCTCAACACCGCCCCATGGCAGCATTCAAGTCTTGAACACAGGCTTGCTAACCTCCCTCCCATCATCCTAACTACACGACCCGCAGTGCTCCTATGATATGTGTTAGAGAAGCTGATAACGTAATTGCCTGTCTTTGTTATTTGAAACATGATGCTTTTAATTTCTAAGAGTTT